GTCTATGCTTTCTTTGGAAGAAGAAATTCAACAAGATTCTCTCTATTGTTTCTGCTCCCTTCCAACAGCCTCTGTGCTCTTTTAGAACTATCGCGGCCGTTCCACGATTTCCGCCAGACAACGCAGCACAATGGTCGCCTCAACTACATCGCACAGCTCAAGTGCCTTCGATAGATTTTCTCGGCGCTCAAAGCCTTCGGTTGTAATCAATCTAAACAGTCAGCAGCCATCCATGACCAATTCGTACTCAACTTTGGACACTATCAAGGGGGAAGTGATAGTAATGTCTGATTCTGATATCCGATTTGAAGATATTTTCATTACTTTTGAAGGTATGGTATTAAGTTTCTCTCCACGACATTTTGATAACTGTTAACGGTGTTAATTCTGCATCAACAGGAACCTCCAAGACAGTCATTGAACGACCTGGAATAGCGGGACCTTCAGTTGATCGATATTCTGCATTTCACACTTTCCTGCGTCTAATACAGCCCATCGATGAGTCGCAATATCCTCAGCCAAGAAATATAGAAATGGGTCGCAGATACACGTTTCCTTTTACCTTTGTTGTCCCCGAGCGATTGCTCCCCAATTCATGCTGCCATAAACATAACCACCAGCAAGTCCATGCAGCACATACCCTTTTGCCACCATCGCTAGGAGATCCTGTGCTGGCGGAAAATGGCAGTAAACTCTTAGACGATATGGGCCCCGGGGTGGCGCAGATCCAATATGCTGTGAGAGCCCAACTATCCAAGGCCAGTTCGGTAGATGATTCCACGAAGGTGTTCGTGGATGCCAAACAAAAAGTCCTTATTATCCCAGCAACGGATGAGGCTCCGCCTTTGAACATTTTGGACGACAACGAAGAGTATTGCATGCGCAAAGAGAAGGACGTGAAAAAGGGCGCACTAAGGGGCAAGATCGGCCGAATTGTGATGGCAGCTGCTCAACCAAAAGCATTACGCATCCCAGCATCCGCAGCTGCAGATGCAGCTGGTTCAGAGGAATGTGTACCCACCACTATGGCAACTGTCCACCTCCGATTTGACCCTGTAAATGAAGATCAACAGCCCCCTCGCCTGGGCAAACTCTGGGGCAAGCTAAAAGTGAACACTTTCTTCGGGACGGAACCATGGAACGATATTCCTTCCAAGACGTCCGCTCTAGCCTGGGCCCTCAACCAAAGGGTGTATACCAAAACCATCTCGCTCGCAACCCGCTGCGTCGCTTCCGCGACCTGGCAAAAGCACTCCTCTACAACACCCTGCTCATCAGCCCCCCCCTCCCTCCATCGCCGCGACTCCATCCAATCTACCAGCTCCGTCGAGTCCCTCCCTGGACCCACTGCTGGCTATACTGGGGATACCTACTATACCACTTCAGTTCTAGTCCCCATTAACCTACCCAAAACCCGCACATACGTACCAACTTTCCACTCCTGCCTGACGTCGCGCACGTACACGCTCGAAATGTCACTTTCCTACCATACTCCCAACGCAAACCTAATCGCCCCAACCCTAGCGATCCGTGTGCCCATTCAAGTCTCCACGACAAAGAGTCTGGCAAATGCATGCGCGGTACGCCGCCAGCCGAACCGGGTGAGGAACACGGAAGACGAATACTTCACACCGCGCAGAGTTGCGCCCCCACAAACTCATTGTATTGAGCGCTCCCAGTTATTAGTGACAGGGGTGAGGCGGGGTCAGAGCGATCCGTTCTTCTCGGCGGTTCCGTCGACGAGTGCCTTGGCGCCGCCTGAGTATTCGAATGAATCGTCGGCGTTTGCGAAGAAGCCGAATCAGACGGTTGTCGGAAATACTTGCTGATTTTGAAGATGGACAGTGGATCGCCGAGATCAATCAGGACCATATCATCTCGCTTCCTCGATTGACCTTTACTCACTCTTTCTTCGTTATGTGGTTTAAAAACCCACAGAAGCATGTTGCTGTTTTGTATATATATATATATATATTTTAAACTTTCATGACCCTAGATTGCTTGCAACTTTGGGTATGATGATGGTTTCTGCATAACCCTGCACCCCCTTTTTTCTTCCCCCCAACATCATGCTAAGTGATGGGTTTTTTTATCTCTCATACATCACTTATTTTCTCCCAGGTGTTTTACCGCTCATGTCAATACCTGTGTCTAATCTTCCGAAGTAACACCTGATCTTTAGTGAATAAATAATCTGCATTCACTCCGACAACAAAAGTTTTCATGACCTGTTTCATTGAGCTCTCATTTTTTTGTTGTTGAGTATTCCCTTCAAATCTCATTGACTAGATTGCCAGAATTGCTAATGGCATATTTTAATTCTTCAAAAGCATACCATTGATTGCATGAAGCTGGTTAGTTGAAACTCTTCATGTGTTTTCCTTTGCTTTTTTAAAAATGAACTATGAGAATGAGGGTATAAAAACCTCCAGACCCAGAAGACCCAGAAGGCCAGGGTCAGTTGTAGAGAGGGGTCTGGATATGTAGACTGAGTGAAGGACAGGTTCGTTGTAAATTCGGTTTCTCTGCAGGATGAATGAATGAATAGTGAATAATGCTAGATTTCATTCGCAAGTGTCATACTGGAGGTGTGAATCAGCCAGCAAAAATACTGCAGTGGAAACGCGCTTGCGGATTTTGCAGGTAAGCGAACATCCCTGGAGAGAATAGCAAGGGTAAGAAAATATCCAGTAATAAGGAAACGCACTGAAACTACTCCTGCGCCCAAAAAAAGCAGTAGCCCACCTGGACAAATAAGTCAGGAAACATTTTCATATACCTTTTCCTGAGGCCATTTCACTTAAGAGCTCAAAAACTCTTTAGGCTCGTGCCACTTCCAAATAGGCTGCGATCAACAGAGTAATTGGCAAGTCAGATGCTTTGAGATTGCCTCTATATTGTGGACTTTCTAACCGTTTCATCATGCCAATTGCAAGTCTCGGGTGACGTGAAATCAATGAAGCTGCGTTTCATCTTGTGGAGCTATCAAGATTAAGATGGCATGTTGAATGTTTGCGAACACATATTGACTGAGGCGCGCATACATCGGTCGGTTCCACAAATAGCCTTGCGAAAAATTTTCAAGAGAAAGAAGACGCAGAACTAGTTGGGAAGTTAATGGTCTGGATGAAACTTTAGTCTTTCAGCCGGAGACACGATCGGGAAAGGGAGATATTCATAGATAGGGTATCAGTAAAACAGCACAAGAAGAATGTCAAATTGTGAAATCATAGAAGAGAGTGGAAACGTGCACACTACGGGGGGAATCAAACACCCTAAAAATCTGAACACAAGATTGCCAGCCAACTGCTTGGATATCATGCATTCCCTTGGAGCTTTATTGTTGTGAAATCCTTATCTCCACTAAATGTTGTGATCATGCCCAGACATCTCCCAAGAGACAATTGGTCTTAAAGAACCTGCCATCCTGTAGCCTCTTGCATCCTTTCACAGATTCATAACATAAACCATTGTTGGGTATACAAAGGTTGAAACGAGATAGGTTCGTTGTCGGACTATGAAAATAAAAATGTCAGGACCTCTTATGCGTTCCGATACGCGTTTGTAGAGTAATTTCATAATCACTGTTCTGACGTCCGAAGGAAGTACCTGCCGACGAGCGCAGGTCCGGAAGTTTTCCGATGGCCGATCAACTTACGGCCTTCTCAAGAAAGTAGGTTTATGCCAAATGCTGATTCCATGGAGGAATTTGCCTATGGCTATGTAAAGAGGTCATAAAATTTCAGCGGCAATTGACCCATCGTTTATGGGCACTAGCCTCGTGGATAGGGTTGAATGGGAAGGAAGATATATAACAATCATGTTATAAATCAGAGATCCCTCAACTTCGCCAAGGATAGATTCTTCGGCTTCCCGGATCCAAAATCGTGGTCACCCTGGATTCCGTGTTTGGAGTATGTACATATCATTACGCTTTATCGGTTTTCGGCGGCCGCATATGCTTGATTGTAACCCATGCCCATCAGATGAGGGAATCTCAACTCGATTTCGTTTTCCTTAATAGTTTGAAAAGAAGGGGTTCTCCTCCATCATGCCAAACGCATTGATATTGACAAACAAGTCAGGGCAAACCGTTCTCTGCCTATAACGTTATTCGCCGGAATAGAGTCCAACGAAAGCGTGATTTCCCACAGGAGGATCGAACGTATGCTTAATCCCCAACACAAAGTCCACAACACAGAATCGTCGCACCAAAAACTACCCGAAACCTGCTAGTTATTGCTGAATTCGATCCGTCCTTCCCACAGAGCTGTGCCGCAAAAAGGGGTGGCAAGAGGTTCGTTGGCATTGCATCCCAGATCCATGGAGGGGTATCTATATCTACCTTCTCGACACCAACAACGTCCAAGTCCAGACTCGGCCTATCGTTGTTCCGTAGTTAGTTTGGCATGGCCAGTTAAAATATCCTCACCGCATGTGCTCGGACTGGCCTTTCGTTACTACTTGGGGAAATGCTGGAGGGTTAATATTGGAACCCGTTCAGGCTTCGATGATGCAATTTCAGAATGCGGGAGTTGGATTGTTTGGGAGAGAGAAGCTGAGTAGATAGGGTGGGGGAAAATCCACCCATCCCGTTCTCCTCCTGCAACTCGTCAAGAGTCCTTCCATCCTTCATCCTCTACGACAAGCTTAGCTGAAGTACTACTACTTACTATCTTTAGCAAAATTTCATCTAGCTAACTAGCTAACTAATAGGTTACTGCGTTAGCGAGTTATCCGCATTGCTTGGAAGCCTTCGAAGGGTTCAGAAGGGGTCCAATGACCCTCTGCCACCAAATTATCAGACAGCGACCCTGCTGGTTTCGCAAATCAGAATAATACCAGAGAATGCATATCAGGCACCGTTCGTGCCCGACCGACTCTTAGTCGCGGAAAACCAATTATTATCATCGTCTCGCTCCGTCGAGTCGCCTCACTTTCCATTGAACTGAGGCTCTCCTTGCAACTAACTCGACGACAGCTTCGGGGAGTCTTTCTGACGCCTGTGGCTGTTCTTGCCCAGATAACTCAAAGTTTCAAAACAACTCTGTCGAGTTCAAAACTCTTCAATCCACGATGAAGAGGGGGAGTTGGGCATTCTACATGTGGGAGAGTTGTCCCCAGTCTTCGTGCTCGAAACACGCGACATTCCAAACCAAGCCTCGTCAACCATTCGTTGTTCAGGATTCAGCGATGTCCAGACGCATATTGCCGCGTCCCAAGCTCTTCAAATCCTTCACGTTGTTTTTTAGCTCAAGCTCCCAAAGAGAGGAGAAATCACTTCTTCGCCAACCCATTTCCGCTGCTCTGAACTTCTCAAGCGGATGCAGCCATTTTATTGGCACCTCCTGCTGTCCACTGCTGAATGACGTCTATTTACATTTGACCCTAGCTGTTTTTTCGAGCCAGATCACTCTTCATACCAGAACCTAGTGTAATCCCTACGAGTTTTTTTTTTTTTTTTGGGGGGGGGGGGGAGGGGCACAATTCAGTGCGGGCAAGGCTGACGACCACTGCGGGGCTCTCAAAGTAAAATAAACCAAGCTCACCCACCTCCTGGAGACTATTTGCTTTCGAGCCTCACTATCCATCAATTCAAACCGCCTTCTCGGGAAATATCAACTGCTCTCGGAGCGAATGATCTTGTTCCAATGCCAAAAGAGATCTAACACTTTGCCTTGCCCGAGCTCAGGTTTATCCCAAACAAGGGCGATTTTGATGAAAGTTGCAAAATGTATGTAGGTGCCCATGAAGCTGTGTTGGCATGTAACTGCATTCTCTACTATCCCATTTCGAGTCCCTGGGGACTAGCACGCCAGTTTCTGAGCAGCCAAGGGCGAAGAAAGTAAGTAAAGGTGGATCAAGTTGGGTATAAATAAGGTACCGTCCTAACCAAAACGTTGCTTTTCATTTGCTAAGTCTGCGTGTTCATTCACAATTGGTTTCTTCTTTGCACGTCTTCCCAACTCTGGGTCAATTTCTTTTTAATGCCCCCCATTCCGTTCCTAAGCTTGCTATATTGTAAACATAGGAACAGAAGGTAAACATTGTTCCCAGACGATGGAAGCTCTAACTGAGATAGACTGCTATCGGGTTCTTGGTATTACGCAATCTGCTACGGCGGTAGAGATTAAAAAAGCGTACCGGGAAAAATTGTTGACTACCCATCCGGACAAGAACCCTGGCACATCATCAGCTGAATTCTGCAAGGTGTGTTCGTGCTCTTATAGTGCAAGTTGAGAATCCTTCACTAACATAAACTCCTCCTTTTTAGGTGCAAGAAGCATACGAAATCTTACAAGATGAAGGAAAGCGGGCTGCGTTTGACAAAACATATGCAGATATTCATGCGCAGAGGGACACGCACGAGCCAGGAGAGAGTCGCGGACGGAAGGAGAACAAGGAACAATGGAGTTTTCCCTACTACTCAACGCCAGCCCCGGCTCCAGAGAAGCCTTACATGCCACGAAGGCCTTACATGCCACGAAGAAGGTCTTCGAGACCTTACCATGCAAGTGCTCCGTCTACAAGCACAAGGAATCAAACTACCCAACGCAGATCACACTCACCAGACAAGCCAAGAGCACGCTCGCCAACCCCAAAAGAGCACCTCCCCTATAAACAGCACCGGTCTTCAAAGTCGGATTCGACTGCGCAGCGGCCGCATCATTCATCGAAGCGACACACACACACCCGATCAGATCCGTCATACAATTACAAAACTATCAGACCGCACTGGGCGGAAAGAGAAGAATATGACGACTATTATTACGATGATATTCCCGTGATTGCACCAATATGGCGTCGACCCGAAGAATCACCACGATATCGTGAAATCCACATGGACACCCTGCATAGCCTGTGCAATGTGCGCATCCCCCGAACTTCGAGCGGCAAAATATCCGTAAACCCAGGCTCAGGGCCTACTCCCGATATTTGCTTGATTTCACCAACACGCACGAGTTCAGGCGCAACCACCACCAGCAACGACGGATATGGCGTGACCATAGTCAAACCACGCAGCCGCAACAAACCCACGTACAAAATAATCACCCCCCGCCCCAACCAAGCACGATGCCCGTCGTCGCTACCATCTTCGCAATACCATACCGTGACGGTCAAGCCGTCAAAGAAGGACATGCACAATCTGCTGTACGACTACCCAGAGCGAGCGGGCCGTGCCAGTAATTTCCGGGGAAGCCTTTATGAGGAGGATTACAGACGGACTCAAGGCATGCGCTGCTTTTAATTCTAATCATTTCTAAGCGCTTGGGCTGTTTTTTGGGTTTATTATTCCACGGTGCTCGCGTGTTCATGCATCTGGGCAACTTTGTCTTAGGATGTGGTTATAGGAGGTCTTTGTTGTGAATATTATTTGTTGGTCATTGACGTTGGGATAAGGGGTGGACAGGGGGCAGGGGAATCACGATTTTATACAGAAACTTATCACCTGGTAATGAATAACGACAGAAACAGGTGTTGTCAACCTTGTTGCTTTTGTCACTTCTTTACTCTTTTGGTACTTTTGTCGTATGACTACATGCAGCGGATAATGTTAATGTTGGTCCCACTGGGATTTGTGGAGGGAATGCGGGAATACAGCAATGTTTCATCATGGTCAGTACAGAAACCCATAGATGTCCTGATAATGAAGAACGACAGAAATACGCGATATCAATTGCCTTTATGTTTAATTTTTATGTTTTATTTTAACTTTTCCCCTTTTCTTTCTTTCTTTCTCTTTTTTAGCTCGTTTTGCGGTATGATATCCCGATATCAAACAGGAGCTATTTACACAGCTCATTTACTTACTTCCCTTTGGTTGTTAACCTCTCGCATTATTATTACTCTCTTCTCATTTTACTATTCTTCTAACTCAACGCTTCTACTTCTACTCCGTTGGTCCCGTTCTACGCACCCTCTTTTCGACACCTATTTGTCAAATACCACCATACATTCGTTTTTGCTGTTTCTCTCCATTATTTTCCATTCGTAGTTAGGACATTGCGTTGTGATATAGTTCTCTTTTCGTAACCCTGATAGCATTTCTATTCGGAGTCGGAATAACTACTTCCGGCTTGGCATAGTCTCCATTCCTTTGGTATTCATCAAACAGTTCGTTCATTACAATCAGTGAGAGGGCGTTGAATCATAGTTAGATATAAGCAATACATTCGTTCATTAGCTCTGTTCTTCGATCCTCTACAATTTCGATCCTCTACATACACATTGAATTGGAGTGGTGGTGTAAAAGATTATTTCCGGGGCTTCCTTTCACCGGTGGTGGATGGCATAGTTCTTTTTTTAGACATTCGGCTTTGCTCCGAAGGCTACTCTTCAACAGAATTTATATCTATCTATATCCAGGTCAGATACAAGAAAATATAATCCTTCATGCAAGCATTCTCAACCTATAGGTGCGTTAATTGTAGATGAATACCAATTCAATCATATCTTTCTCATGAGATGAATATACATCGGCAGCACGATATATTATAAAAAAACGCCATAACTCCGTAGATAAATTACGTACAGTGTGTCGGGTAATGCCAGAATATCGGAGGTATTGAACCGTCCCGCGTGGACTGAGGAATAGCCGGCCGTTGACCAAATAATAAGGGATTGAGAGACAGAGACCAACTAATTTCTTGCAGGTTTCCATGTTGGAAGTTGGAATTTCAAATTAAATGGACGGTAACTGAACTACTATATCCGTCTTCGCGTACCAGTTAGAAAAGTGCTTTTGGATAGACCCCGACATAATTTGCGTCAAACATACCCACATACAAAAAAAAAAAAAAAAAAAAAAAAAGGTCCTGTTTTCTTCATTTTGTGTGACTAGTTATTAATTACTGCTATGTCATTTATGTCGCAAAATGTCAAAATGGATTCTTCATCTCTCTTGGATGAATGGAGGTCCCTTTTGAGTCGCCGGTACGAACCAGACCGGATCGATGGTTCAAGATGCAAGTTATTGGCCATACCTCGTTGTTAACGGCAGCCATCGTCAACTTCTAGGTTTCCCTGGGCGACCGAGGAACCTAATATGCAATGTCAGGCGGGAGGCCCTCGGGAGCGAAGTGGCCGCCAGCGGCTAGGCAGCTTGCTTTCCATAGGGATTGAGTTGGTGACAGGTGGTTGGACGGTTGGGATTTAACTACCTCTGCAACCAAGGATACGCCCGCCTACTTATGCATGCAGCATTGGGTAGTTACGTGTGATTACTTGAAACAATGTATATAGTGTCGTAAATAACCAGGGGGAGGAAGAGCACTTCTGTGAGTGTGAAAAATGCAAGGTGGGGGTGATATTATCTTAGCCACTCTATTGCGGTAACTAGTTAGTTATGGTAACCTGGTGTTTATGTAATTGTTCAGGTTGAACTGGGCTATGTAACTCTTCAGGTGAACTGGGCAGCGTATGGAACACTCAGGTCCATTGTAAAACAGCAAGAATATACGTACAAGCGTTCCATATGCAAGGTGACGTATGTATGAACCACATGAGCAGGTGTTGCAGGCATCCATTGCATAGCCTTTTGTTAGCTGATATGTCATGGATGTATGTTATGCATAAGGGGGACTATATGTAACTTCAGGGTCTGTTTGCTTTGCTTGTTGAAATTTCAGCCCTAGGACGTTGAAGCACAGCCGGAATGCCAAGTGAGGACAGGGCGGATCCGCCACCTGTGAACATTTCATAGCAGAGATATGAGCACAGAATAAATTGTCCAAGGTTTGGGGTAATGTATTCTGATGCCGCGCATGCACTGGGCCAACTGTGTGCCATATGGACCCTGCAATGCCCTGGCGCTAGTTAACTTTCAGCGTTCAAGGGTTCTACATCGACCCTCTCAAGGATGGGAAAATTTAGAACCAAGAAAGTAATTTTAGATTTCAAGGCCAGTCAGTGCCTATGTATCAGATTACGGGAGTATATACGTACCGTCAACAACTTGTTAACTTCCTCCCGTAGTTGGATATTTTGCAGGATCGCTCAAACCTCTGTCCGGGTATCTTAGTCACGTGGTTTTGCATCTGGCCACGGTCAGTTTGCGGCGGAGGTACATGATTGCAGCCTGGAGATACTTTTCAACCGGACGCGTAACCCAACTCTTATGTAGTCACCGTGCGATTCTGCCGCCCCCTTTTTTGAGTTTAACCACCACCGCCTTAGTCCTGTGTTCTTCAACTCAATCAACAAACTTAATCCCAAACTTCAAGATATTCAACATCAGTCGCTTATCAATCGCACTCAATGCCCAAACATACTTTGGTTAGCATTTCCTTGTTAGGCTTTCCTTTCTGCCGTTTCAACGTTGCTTTCGATAAGATAACCCCCCCCCCCCCCCCGACCCTTGCAAGCCCTTCCGCTCCCTTGATGTATACTTGCCCTCTAATTACCTCATCATTAATCTGTGACATTAACTCCAACCAGTTGACGTGCATAGCACAGCCTTGCTATTAGGAATCAAAAGGCTGCTCAAAGGCCCTGGTAACTCAGCCATCCATTCATTCCTACGCTGCAGAGCACGGAGTAGAGATCTCTCTCTCCTTTGCATCTTGAAAGTCTAAAGCTTTTTTAATCACGAATCCCTCCGTAAGTTCGTTGGTTTTATGGTTTCTGCTTATTATGCTGCTGGTCGCCATGTGATTGGTTCGTTTGGGGGCTCTGGCGATACGGATCCAAGCTACGGGACCAAAAACAATATCAAACCAAGGTTTAGCCGTAGACTTTCCCCCAAGTCCCTTTTTCCGCTCTCAAGAGGCCGTTCTGCCCAAGTGCTGGTTGGCCACTGGCTTTGCCATCCACTTCAATTCTCGCTTTTATATTTTTTATCTTTTATCTTATTGTATCTAATATTATATATTTTTAAGCTGATTTTCGAACCAGGGTCAGCTGTCTGCGGAACTCCCACTCCCTGATGCTTCGTTCATTGGCCCTATCCTCCTTTAATTCGCCCCTCACGTTTCTCCACCAACTCCGACCATAAAATATCTAAAACAAAGAAGAGAACAAGACGGGAAGGCGAAAGAATACAGCTAGCAGAGAATTGGACCAATATTTTTAATTCTGTGATTTGATTGATTGCTCTGGTCGTATTCTCGCGGTACACACTCCTAGGACTTCAGGCCCTTTTCTTTTATTTTTCTTTTATTTTTATTTTTCTTTGTTTTAAAACACAAACTTCCCTTGAGCCAGGGCTGCTAAAACTTGAGTTGAAGAGACCGGGTGACTCCATCCAATGTCTCCAGTGATTCCGGTCTCCACTGAATCTCTTCAGACCGTAAATTATTCTCACCAATACTACAATAATCCCTGGATTTTCCCCAAGCCTTCCCTTGTGCTCATCCATCTCTTAACAACTCCTCAACCCTGCGATTCCTCTTTCATTTCTCCTCTATCTTTCTTCCCCTTTTCCCCCTTTTTGGTTAATTTAACCTGTGTCTCGTCATCCCCTGACCTCTTTTGGGTTATCACCAATTTAACGACTTCTTACTTTTTCTTTTTCTTTTGCCTCTTTTTTTAAAAAACAAAACTATCTTGCTAGCCTTCCTTGCTCCATCTTTATTCGTCCATTCCCTTGTGAAAGATTTTAGCTTCCAAGCCTCATCCCCTGAAACGCTGTCACTCTTTTTGCTTGGCTAACTAGAAATTAAATGTACCAAACTTCTGTCAAGCATAATCCTCGTCTTCCCCTCGCTCCGACCACTCTTCAGATAATTTTTGTTCCTCAAACTTTTCCTCCTTTCGCCCAGGAGCCATTTCTCTTCCCTCTTTTACCTCTTCTTCGTAATCCGCCACTCCGTATATCTCGACTTCTTTCCCCGCTGGGGCTATCCTTCTGCCGCCCGCACCCTTTGCGAATAGCCCCACCTCCTTTTCCACCTTAAGCCAACGGTTCCTTTTGCTGTGGTTTGCCGATCCAACCACGAACAGTGGGCTTAGCTTCGTTCCTCTAGCGACACAACCTCGTCACCTCGACAAGATCCCCTTCCTGACTTCCTCAAGTCACAGCTTCAAGGACAAGTCACACAATTGTGCGAGAGAAATTCGCCAATTCTTCCGCACCCATCTGCTGCAGTATTTCTTGCCAGCAACGCCTCTTCGGCCTCTCAGAGGCTAGAAGAAATCTAGGCTATTCCCTTTCCTGCCTCGCGCTCCCTCCCACCCCCCCAGTTGGTAAAATCCCCACAATGCGGAAAGGCTATCTCATATTCATCATCGTCAATGTCCTCATCGTTGCATTCCTCGTGCGCAGTGTCTTCACGCTCCTGACGCTCCTTATCGAGGATGCCTCGGCTGATGCCATTCGCCGGTCTGACCTCCCTTCGCCGAATTCGAGTCTCTTAGAAACACGTCCCCAACTTATCCCGAAAATTATCCATCAGACATACAAGAATTATTCAATTCCTCTCATATGGCAAGAAGCACAGAAGAGTTGCATGGTCCTTCATTCTGATTACGAATACAAGGTACGTTAGCTTTTGAGTGGGGTTGGTTGGGCGTCGTGCTGCGTAGATATAAGGTGGATTCTTTGCCGTTGGCTGGCCGACGACATTAACCACCCTAATTACTGAGCAAGGTCAATTGAGGCTAACCACTTGAAAAATTTGTATTCGATTTAGCTATGGACGGACGAGAAATCAAAAGAATTCATCGCGAAGGAATATCCTTGGTTCCTGGAGACGTTTGAAAATTACCCCTACAACATTCAGCGCGCTGATGCTATTCGATACTTTGTGCTGGCACATTATGGTGGCACTTACATCGATTTAGATGATGTAAGTTGTTTCAAATAGCTTGTTTCTATTGTGGGATTCCGTTGGGTTTTTCTGAATTTTTGATTTTTTGAACCGTACCTGCAAAACGGCTACATATCATATCTTCCTTTTAATTGCATATACACTCGCCCTTGTTGCCGTTTAGCTGCGATTGCCTAACACAATTCCTCATTTTCACAGGGCTGCAACCGCCGTTTAGATCCGCTCCTCTCCTATGGTGCCTGGGTTCGACGCACTGCCCCGACGGGCATCTCGAATGACGTCATGGGAGCTGTGCCCCAGCATCCCTTCTTCCTCCGTGTCATTGATTCGCTACAGGCATATAACAGAAATTGGGCGTTGCCATATATCACCGTGATGTATTCGACGGGTCCTCTTTTCCTATCTGTGATCTGGAAGGAATACATGTTGTCGGAACCCTTCAAGACGGATCGCGTTCGCATCCTTATGCCAGACGAATACAATCGGCATTCATGGAGCTTCTTCACACATCACCAGGGAAGTAGTTGGCATGGCAAGGATGCCAGGTTGATATTTTGGGTATGTTTCCAGCTCTCTACCTACGCTCACCTCTCTCTGCCGGCTTACCCGTCCGGATATAAACATATAATTAACTAAATCCAAATGAAATAGATGGGCGGACATTGGATGCTCCTCACAACCGCCGGCTTCCTCCTAGCAGGCATCGTCGGCTTCTGCCTCTGGTGGGCCTATGGTCGTCTACTCTTATGCACCTCGCGCTGTTTCCGCTACTCTCCACTATCACGACGCCCTCCACCACCACCCTCAAGCCCACACTGCCCCTCTTATTCCTCCACTAGCCGCCGCAACCGATTACTCCAAGGTTGGCTACGACGACCGAGCCCATCGAAGAGGCAAGACGAAGAATCCGGCAGCAGATACACCGATATTCCTTACGAACTTGTTGGGCGGAAGAGCAATGTACGAAACGAATAGAGTATGTTTTTGTTTAAGAAAAGAAAAACCAATTTAACCTATCTACCCTACCTATTTATCTAATAACCGTTGCGGATCCAATATCTTTTTCTTTTCGTTTGTCTGCATTTCTCATGTACACAGCAGAAACGGGGATATTCTATTTTCTTATGTTCCTTTGTTTCAAAGAAGGTCAGCACGAACCATTGGGGATATTTTTGTTTCTCTTGTAATATGGCGTACGCAACACGTTGCTATCTACTCCGCATATGTCCCGGTGTTACATCTGTCGGTTGCAGCCCCTTTTTCCCGAAAATTTTTCTATTTCCTGGTTGTATTTTTCTCATCTGTTTAACCCATTTTTTGTTCGAGAAGACTAAAAACTTTTTGTCTAATTATTTTGGGTTTTTACCCTTTAATTTGTTGCATCCTTTAGTTGCAGGGTCTTCTTGTTTTTCTTGGGGCTGAGCCTTTTCAAGGAAATGGAGTTTTGGAGCCGATTTTTGTGTTTCATTACTTACTCTCCCGATCCGAAGAAAACCTTCTTGTCCATAGGGCGGGGGCATCTTATGGCGTCTTCTAATTTCTATTTCCCTTGTTATTTTGGTGTTTTATTTTGGACGGATCAAAGGAATCTTGGCAGAAGACATCTCTACCTGCCGACTTCACACTTGCAGCATATCATGTGGTTGGATTTGTTGAACTATTCATTTGTGTCTTTATATATGCGTCCGCGTCCGTGTCCGTGTCCGCGTCCATCATGGCTGTACTCTACCCCTTTTTTGTCTGTCCGCTATGTATAATTGAATTTCCTGTGGACATGTGCATATGTTTGTGCGTTGTTGCTTTGTGTCCCATCTACCTCCTTTGTATCTCACTTTTATTGATATATATAACCACTCACGGATACTTCATTTAGCTTGTGAAGATGCTCATGGCGAGATGGAGGGGAGAACTGATGATGAGAATGATCTATTTCTAATGATGACAAATGGAGGAAAGGGATATGTCTGATGTCAAAAGAATTATCACAATGCTCGTGTTCAGATCATTTCAACATGTTACGTGACATGTTATCTAACGATAATGTATTTAGAAATGAGAGATAGGTATAGCCAGCTACCTAGGTGTAACGTTCTTCAACCATTTGTATGTGCTATGCAAGAAAAATCACACCGGACTGAATAGGGCAGAGAAACTATATATATATATATACATTTGGCCTAAATGCAATGCCGCGTCTTCCCACTATCCGCTCATAAAAATTAGAAAGAAAACCCCTCCACCAAATCCCATCCCGAAACGCCTCCCGATGGATGATAAAGAAGCCAGCCCAGCCCACACCCCATCAACATATAACTTACACGCAGCGGATATACATGTACTGTTCTATACCCACCCAACAAACAGTTCCCCATCCACATCTCTACCTCTCCCCCCTCCCCTTCAAATACGAACTCACCTCCTTCCCCGAGCCTCCGCCTCAGCCCTTTCCACCCTCTTCACCTTCCTCATGAGCTCCAGATACTCATTAACCCTCTTCTCAGCCCAAACATAGCCGCCCATTGCCATCACGCTCAGCTGCAGGAACACTTTAAACTGCAGTGTCAGGCCGCGGTAGACGCGCGAGGCCGGGGCGAGGTTGGCGGAGAGGCGGGTTAGAGGGCGGTAGAGGAGGGGGGTGCTTGGGGGCGGTTTGGGATGTGCATGTGGCTGCGCTTGTGGGTGAGGGTTGGGGGTTGTTGAAGGGGTCGTGGCGGCGTTGTTAGAGGGCGGAGAGGAGGAGGCGAAGCGGAGCGGATGGGGAAGGAGGAGGATTAGGTGGGCTAACAGTGAGATTGAGCCGAACTGATGGTTGGAGGGAGAGAGGGGGGTGTGTGTGTTAATTTGTCTTGAGTATGTATGGTATGATTGACGTTGCATTGGGAGGGGTTGTTATTAGGATATGTTCCTACGTACACGGGCGGCACCCGTTATGAATCCCTTGACTGCTTCATGGATAACTTCGGGTGGTGGTTCCATGACATCCCGTTGGCGAGACGGAGGAGGCATGGTTATATTTTGTATGTAAGAACTAAATCGGATATAGCCGTGTGTGAGGATGAGATTTTTGGTAGTGCGGAGGGGCGGGAGGGAAGTGGCGGAGAATACGGCGTTGTGAAAGGAAGAGCCGAGGGGTTACAGAGGGGGTTGTAAAGGAGGTTTCCCACATAAAATGCCGGAGATCCCTTCTGTCAAGATACGGGCTCAATTGAGTAGAATTAACCCACGTAAAGGGAAAAGAGAGACAGAAATGTGATTGTTTATATGTCAATCGATGGTTTGACTCTCTTCTGCTGTTTTTAGCAGAGGTTGGAGAGCGGAAGACGGAGATATGTTTCTCCGGCCGATAGTTTACATGGAGGAAAACCGCAGGGGATTTTTCATATCAAATATCAAATTATCAGGTTGATCAAGTTTATATCACCATATTCACCCTTCTACTCGAGTCGCAAAGGATTTAGTTGAGAGCGCATCACATATACACATCCTCCATCGCAGGATATACCTCCGCCCCCAAATGCAACATGTCCCTCCCTCGCCGTACTACAACCCTCACCCGCTTAACGAACGAGACAAAAGTGCAAGTTTCCCTATCTCTGGACGGCGGCCAGCTCCCTGCCTTTGAGCCCTGCAAGTACTTCCCACAGACAAACCCGGAGGAATCGACAGGCATAATCCCTGCCCCCGACGCGGGGCATGCTTCACAATTCACCGCCACGCAGCAGATCACGATAAACACAGGCATTGGGTTTTTGGACCACCTGTTGCATGCGCTGGCAAAACATGCCGGGTGGAGTCTGGCAGTGAGGTGTAAGGGGGATTTAATAAGTTCGTGGATTTTTCCCCTTTTCCTTGTGTTTTAGTGATACTCCCCCCCACCCCATATATTCTATTATGACTAACTAACTGACCCTCCATTAGTTGACGACCATCACACAACCGAAGATACCTTCCTCGCCCTGGGCACCGCCTTTTCCAAAGCCCTAGGCCCTCGCCTCTCCCTCGTCCGCTTCGCCCGCGGCGATGCACCGCTCGACGAAGCCCTCTCCTGGGCCGTAATCGACATCTCCTCCAGACCCTACGCCGTGATAAATCTGGGCCTACAGCGGGAAAAGGTCGGCGATCTGAGCACGGAGATGATTCCGCATGGACTTGAGAGCTTCGCGCAGGCCGCTGGAGTAACGTTGCATGTTGGTTGTGTCTATGGGAGGAACGACCACCATAGGGCGGAGAGTGCTATTAAGGCTCTTGCGGTGGCGACAAGGGAGGCCTGTCGGAGAAGGTTGGCGGGAGAGGTTGGAGGTGGTGGGGAGGTGGGAAGTACGAAGGGGGTGTTGTAAGCTCATATCGTTTGCGTTGTACTTTTCAATATACCTTTTTGTCATGAAAGAATGAAGATTATTCTTTTTCTCTCGTATTTTCTCCTCTTTCAGGTCTTAATGGCTGGTCATTTTGGGTGGTTCCCTATAATATTTATTCCATTTTCTCCATGTGCGCCCTAAGGAAAGAAATTGGGAGCGTTTTAGAATTGGAAATGGACTCTGGTGAGTTTAGACGAAGTATAGAGATATTAAGGTATCTATGGAAAAGGGGGTGCGGTTGGAACAATCAATCTAAAGATCACTCCCGCAAATTTCACTTTCAATGAGTCAAGCAAGTCGCAGAGAGTAACTATCATATATGTCATAAAATAGGCCGTTCCCGTTGCTATCGTATTTTATCCTCCTAACTCCTCCCAACCTTGTCGTCCATCCATGCGATCATACGGGTGACCCCCATTCCAATCCTGTGTAATCCCAACCTTATAAAGAAACAAACCCACCCGCATCACCGTAGCTATAGTTTTGGTGTTTCAACCAAAATTATGAAATTATGAACTGATATGTAACTAAGCTGTCATATACCAACGGGGTGACTTACCCACCCGTATAATCACGCATGCATTAGAAACCACCAGAACCAAACCAAATCAGAGAGAGATAGAAAACACCAAATAATATCAGCTGCTTTCCCCCAATTTCAGCACGAACAATCAAGGACTCTCCTTCACGTATCCTATCGTTTGGCTTTGCCTTCACTATATTAGGCTCCGCAGGGTAAGTTTCTCGGCGAACAAGTTTATCTGCAAATGGGAAGACTCGGTGGCCGTTTCTGCCAGAAATCATTAGAAGATCGAGGGGGAGATTGATGAAATATTAGTTAGCGAAAAACAAACAATAGGAAAAAAAAATACGGTCAGATAAAAAATAGAGAAGATTTATGTATGTGTACGGCAATGGCAAAGGCAAATTAATAAAAAGCAAAGGTTCTAGAACAAGGTTAGCCCCAGAACCTAACCGGGAAGGTATATCTGTACATGAAGGTGGGAGGTGTGCGGTAAATGAAGTAAATGAAAAATGTTCAAAGACGAAAATGCTGAACAATATCAAAATAAGATACGCCGTGCTCCAGAGTTCCGGTCCAGAAGAACAATTGCTATAGCAAATGCAAAATCAGAAGGAAAGAGAAAGAAAACAGGTGGGGGATAAAAGAAGTCAAAAAACTTGGCAAGGATGAAAGTCACATAAGGTGGAACTGGTGGGGAATATTTCAAGTTTCCAAGTCAGGCAACCTCCAGTCAAGCCTGGGAGGCTGGCTAAGTGTCTCAATGGTCAATTTCTCTTTCCTTAACTCCTTTCGCTCCGCGGGTCGTGCCATGAGCAACGCACGAAGCGAGGATGCGGTTTCAGAAAGTCGCGTGCCGGTAGTGGTTGATGCACTTGTGTTCGTGGGAGAACTTAGGCTGTTGCTACTCTTAGTCATGCGGATGCTGTGATTACCGGTGCCTGGGACGAACAAACGCGGCAGGGAAGGGGTCGGAACGGATATATTGGAGGAGGTTGTGTGCAGAGCGTTGGATGTGTGAGCTTTCGGGAGGGGTGGGGGTGTAGGGTGGATAAAGGGTTGTTCGACATTTGACGAATTTCTATCATTCGAGGAGTCTTGTATGGTAAGATTCTCCGCATCTTCATCTAGAGGAGTCCCGGTTTGGTCAGGAGTGTCTGACAAGTAGGGAACTGATTCTCCGGTTTCGGATGAATCAATGGGGTCGAAGGAGAGCTGGTTGAGGAATGTGTCCAAACTGGCTGCCGTTGTAGGCCGCTCGTCATTAATTGAATCGTCATCGAGGCCATTGCAATGTTCATCAATGAGGCCGTGGGTGATGTTGTAGTTTCGAACCAAATATCGTTGAAGTCGATCCACCTCTGCATCCCATCTGTGACCTAGCGATTGAAGCACAACTTGCACATCCTGCCGGATAAAGTGTGGAGGTGCGGTTGAGCTAGCGAGAATCGGCGTAGATGACGCTAATGGGGAAAAGAATGTAGTTACATGTGAATTCGCATGGTGCGGTGATGTAGGTGATGCTTTTTGAAGCTTGTGTCCCGAGCTTCCAACTCCGCCGGAGACAGCAGCATGGAGACTTTTGCGGATCGAATTCCCTTTCGGTCCGACAGCATTTGGGGTATTTTGGTTGACAGATTCAATTTCGCGGCGCACTCGTTCCAGGCACTGTTCCCTGTCACGTACCATTGACGGGAGATGCAACAGCTTTTTGTTCAGTTGTAAACCGTTGACTAGAACCGTGAATGACTGCAGGTTAATTTCATTGTTGTCACAGTACACTTCTAGTAGTGTTTCATTTTCCTCCAGAACAGAAGCAAGGGTATTTGCTCCTTGTAAACCCAGTCTTTGATGCTCGATCTTTAATACCCTCAGTGAGGTATTCTTCTTCAGTCCAGTTAACGCAAGATTTAGACCGATGCCAAATCTAGCAACATCCAGGTGGGCATATTCACCACTAATATCCAATTCCTCGATCGTCGAATTTTTCTCGAACATTAGTTGAAGAGCTTTGCACGTTTCCGGACCGGCGTCATATGGTAATGATGCCTTTGATATATCGAGATACTTCAAGGTTGTATTTTTGCGTACTGCATCAACCAATTGGCGAAAATGGTCTTCTTTTTGAAATTCCATCATCCTCATGGTAAGATGTGTAGGGGTCTTATTCTTGGCTATCGCGTTGAACAGGAGGGAGTAGTCGACATGAAGGCGATTCTCACTCACGTGAAGATGCATGTTTCTCGGTTTCCCAGAATCGTCTGTCATGGAATGGAGAAATATAGCTACATCTTTCCCGGTGAGGCCACATTGGTCGAGTTTCAGGTTCCGAAGCGTGCTAGATTTAGAACTTGATAGGTATGCTGCTATCGAATCCACAGTTTGTTCATTAACGGCGGTGTGACTCAGGGACAGCTCCTCCAGTCGCCAATTGAGCAATGTTTCTGGCGCAATAAGTGGCTCCGGACCTGTGGTCCTTGAAATGTGTGAAAGGTTAATCCTCCGGATATGAGCAAAGTATCCTATCTGCTGCTGAAATAGTTCAGGGCTCAGCCTACCCTGGACACCGGAGATATCGATAGATTCCAGAGTGTTCTCCTGAGCAGTGATTGTAGAAAGGATAAGGTCAAGATCATGGATTGACAGACCACAATGGCTAACCTCAAGGGCGCGAAGGTGAGAGGATTTCTGCGATGCTGCATCAACAAGATAATCCAAGTCAGAGTCGCCAAGTTTGATGCCATTGAGAACAATCCAATCCACGTTCGTCAGCTGGCGTCGGCAAAGGGGATATATGGCTTCCGGTATGCCGCATCCCGGGTCAAGCATTCCTTTGCTAGAGGTAGGCTGTCTCGTGAGACAAAACGAGAAGTCCAGCCTTCGAAGTCGCCTATTTTTTAGAGTTAAAGCACGGATTTCTTGAGACAAGATGGACATCTTTTCTTGGCCTGGAAGTCGAATAGCGATGTTGGAGCGCGTAGTTGCTGCGTCAATGTCAAACCCAAAGGAGTCGCGTACGCGATGGAGAACATCTAAATTAATGTCCATAAACGAGATTGAAACAAAAGACTCATTATATCGCAGAGAACGCATGACAGAAAGAAGTTCCAAGGTAGAATATTTACGGCGATCTTTGCTATTTGCAGGTTGTAGTAAACGGAAGCACGGAGCGTCATCGCAGGCGTAATCAATTGTATAACGTATATTCGAGGTATCGATGTCATAGGCAGCGCAATATGCGGTAAGAGTGCGGTCGAAACCCCCGTGATCTTGATCCATGTACATTAATGGTGTGACTTGGTCTTCTACATGTTGAGGGACATTAAAGATAAACGGTTGCTGAAGCCATTCAGGTCTGAGCCATTCCGCTCTTTGCCGTATTAAAATAGCGATCTCGCTGGAGAACGATGAGGAAAGATGCACAGCGAAAGGTTGGCACAGTGGTACACTATGAATATGTTAGCGCATTCTACGTATAAGCTGGACCGAACGTGTAAAGAAACACGTACCGGAATATCAATTGAAAAGAATCATCACCCCGTTGCATTGACAAAGATGTCAACGTCATAATCCCAAATGACATGCTCACATCCAACTCGGTTAGAGAGGCGACCGAACTCCGGTTTGATGACTTCGGAAGGAGTATTAGGTGGATCTTGTGAACTCCGATTGCCAAATAACACACATTTGATGTGAGCTTTGCCAGGTCGTCATTCGATGACCTTCCGCCGGATTTGGTGGACACGCGTTGCACAACTTTGTACATCCGGAAACAATCTGGGTCGTAATCTCGTTCCTGTTCGAGGGCCCGGGCAACGTATTCCACGGACTTCTGGTCAAATTTAAGGGGATCAATGGCGCGTATTTGGTCCGCTGCTGCGCGTATCCCCGCCAGCCATAATTCCGACTCTCCCGGGTCATTGAGCTGCAGTAGCAAGGACGAAGGCTTGGCAGATCGTTCGTCCATGTGGCAGACCTCAATGGAAAAGTAAGGTCGTCCATCATCAAGCCTGTAGACAGCCACGATGCTGTTCAAGGGTATTCCTGACGTAAGATCTGAATAAGGTGCCATGTGGGAATCCTGAAAGGAGGTAATTGAGACCATTGACTGTCTGTTTGTGGCCGTAGAAGGTGAAGAATTTCGACCCCAGGTCGCAGGAATTGACGGAAAAACTTCCGCTGCCTTCGACTGGTTTTTGAACCTGACAAGGTGTGTATCCGTCAGGACCAAATACTGACTCTTCTTCCGCCACATGCCACCCGTTGTCTGGACTTCGCCATGGTGTAGGACTTGGGTGCCCAGAAGGGACTTCAGATTTGCCAAGTTGGTGGGAGAATCCTCCTCATCGCCCGAGGATGCTTTGGAACGGGTTCTTGTAGAGGGCTGGTCGTCATCGAGGGAGCCCAGCGACCGCAAGGACCCAAACACAGATTTTCGCATGGATTTCTGGAAAGATTTCGATCGTGGATGGGAACTGTCCTCGGATGATATTAAGGTGAGGCTTTCCTGTATAAAACCAAAAGTAAATTAGGGACAGAGAAAAAAAAAACTAGAGGTCCTAGGCCATAATTGGTGGAACAATGCGCCCATGCTAGAAGCCGTCAAATAGGTTACAGATACCTAGACAGGTAGCATAGAAGATGCTGAACAACATAATATTGGTGCACAAAATGAAATATAGAGAAATTCATGGCAAACTTTGGGCTGTGTGCAACTAACCGTGATGAAGAGCGAGCCACTACTACTGGCAGGACGCCCGGTACTTTTCCGCAACCTTAGCCTCTCCTTTTGTGGTTGCGAATCAGAATCGTGTTTCTCACGCCAGCCATCAGAAACAGATCGATCATGCCTCCGGGGATTTTTGGCCGAGCCAGCGAAGCCAGAGCCCAACAGACCCGTTGGGCCTAAAATACTTAAACTTTTCCTTCGCTGAGCTTTATTTGGTATATCCGTCATGGTGAGTGTTCAAAAGTATAAATAATAATTAAACAAAACCCAAGAAACCGGGTTCCTGATTCCCGAAGGAGCCTTGAACAAGGAGGGACAGGCGAGGCTAGAAGCAAACTATTGAATTCAATTGAATTGAATTGATTGGTAGTGTGACGGAGATTTGATAGAGAAGAAACGATATTCCCCATACAGTCACATCCAGTGGTTCCTCTAAGGAGCACGGGGTACAGGTCCTCTTGGATGAGCTATCGGAAGCGGGAGCCAATGGTTCTTGCAAAAAAAAAAAAAAAAAAAAACACTACCGCTGCTTGTTTCCAAGGTCTTCCAGGGAGGGTGTACACAACTACTAGCCTCATCTAGATCAGCCGATTGAGAGTAGCCTGGCTAGCTGAGAATATGCCATGCCGAAAAGAGCGCCGTGTCAATGATCAATTAGCGTCCTGTCGTACAGCAACTAGAGGTTGGTTGTTGGGCAGATGGAGTGGGCGTCGTCTGCAAGGTGCTAAGCACGTTGATTGCCCCCCCCCCCCAACTTCCAAGACGACACGATGGATTCGACTCGATTCCTGGACTGACTGGCAGCCCGTGCAGCAACGGAGAAGGGAGAGGAGGAGAGAAGGAGAGGAGAGAAGAGAAGAATACAAGAGTCGAGAAGGGGAGCAGAGAAGGCCAAGTTCATGAAGTCGAAGGCTGAAGTTGGAAGAAAGAAAGTAAAATGTCTTGGAAAGCAGAAATGATGTAATTATGCGAGACGGCACCAATACGCCAATGTCAATACAAGTTATACAGTGTATATGGGGTACATGCAGAGTACTTGTGGAGCACATACGGGAATACATACGGAGTATAATGAAATTCGCTTCTTCTTCTTCTTCTTCTTCTTCTTCTTCTTCTTCTGCTTTGATTCTTTATTCATTTTTATTTTTATTTTTATTTTTATTTTTATATTTAATTTACTATTATTAATATTATTATTTCATTTGCAGCAGGAGTAAGTATTTACTCAGGCTATCGTCAGCAGCAAACCGGATGACATAACAAAGATACAATGAAGGCCTGAGGTTGAGATTGACATGCTGCCATAACCACACACCCGTTTTCTAACTGAGTTCGGAGCCTTCTCGGATGGCTAAACTGTATAGTTGTCTCCGCACTGAGAAGAGATATACCACCAATCAGCTCTGCCTGGTGCCCGTGGTTAGTTCTGGCAGTTCCCAATCTCTGGTCATAGTGACGTGATGCGGTCTGCTCAAACCCCTGAATTCGATGTTGATCTCGCCTCTGCCAAAGATAATTATACCACTTTCTCCACACGCATCCATGGATGCAACAACGGCATAATGACGCTACATCCCTTACTTGCATCTGTTGCTTGGCGGATACCTTTGAGGCGGGGAAGGTAATGCGGAAACTGCATATAAATTTCTCCATCATCGTATTCGATCCCCGGCAAAGTGGAAAACCCGAGTTGAACTGTTAAAGCCCCGCATAATAATAACCAGTCAGATTCTGGCCACTAGACATTCGGTTCCGGCCGCAGTTTTAAAAGGAATGAAATGGACCAAGACCCACCCGGCACGAAATGTCCCTCTTCTTCTTTATTTATATTTTACTTTTGCCACTCCTTGTTATCAATTCAACTGCATAAAAACGTCATATGCTAAGGGGACAATGTGATGATGGATTCTTCAGGAATCTGCCGCTCAAGCCAACCATCAAGATGTGTTGCACCAGCACTGGCAAAGACAAAACAACACATTGATGCTGTACACTGTACTCCGTCCCTAGGAAATCTCCGGTACGCAAGACATAACTTGCCGTGTTTGACCATCACATTTGCGCAATTCGACCGTGGAACGCAGCCCAACATTATTTATATACTCCTCAGTTGTTAGTGGATACTGCGGGCTCCCCTAATCATGTGTCTCCCCCTATACATTTAGTTTAGAATTCGGGCCAGGTAGTTCAACGACAAACAACACGCCAACGTTAACTATCCCTCAAACCACTTTCATTTGACATATAAATTTCAAGCTGGAACCCACGTGGGGGCAAGCGAAACTCAAAACATGGGGAAAAAAGCAAAGAATTACAACTAGTGCATCAACGCTGGGCGCTGTTAGAGTATTGAGGGCATGGCATCATAGATGGAATCATGGGATTCATGGCTGAACAGCGATCCACAGCTACCCAGCCACGATACTACCCGTCACCCCCGTCTTACTGCAAGCTCCGTCCAATGGCAATGCGTGATATTGGGCTGCTGCTCCGCGGCCAGAAGCCAATCAGAATGAATGCATTTGCTCCTTGAGTCCTAGACTTCCAGGGAGTTATCAGAGAGTTTTTTCTGGGCAGATGGCCCCGACGCAACGTCTTCTTTTGCCTTTTGATGACGACATCACAACTGCTGTGAATTTAGGAGACTGTCATGAAAGTGGCTGCTGAGCCCGAGACGAATTGACCAATGACAGTTGTTTCTGGCCAAAAAATGTTCAATCGCCCAAAAAATAAACCTAGAAATGCATCACTATTCTCTTCGTAGTTCTATGGTTTGTGAACTTCCATTGAAAGATTTCATTTACCTGAAGAAGAGGACAATACAAGCTGCCGTTCAAAATCCTGTGATCTGCGACCAGGGAGTTCCTGAATTGACCAGTATGAAGATCACTATGTATCTACATCAATCAATAAGGAGTATATACAATCCTTATTTATTGTTATCGCAAATTTTTGAGAGTAGCAAGAGGGCAGTTAGCTATCTTGGATTTCCCATCCGCTCCCCCTCATCGACAAACACAGACAGAATGGATGAAAATGACGAGCAGAATTGGAAGAAACGAGAGCTATGAGAGGTGCTAAGTTCTGCAGCTTTGTTCTTCCAGACAACCGTTAACGGATACCAATATTTGCAAACGTCAACAGTTAATCATTTCCGATTTCGATTCATGCCGCTCCATTATTCGCCGGACGATCCAGAAATATTCCGTTCTCCAACGAGAGACGCGAATTCGCCCATGTGACGACAGCAGGCGTCTGGGCCGGACGAGATAGATATCTGCGGGTGGCAATCGATGGGATCAGTGATCATGTGCCTGACTAAAAGAAATAACCCCGGTAAGCCGCCAGGGGAATTCCGTCGAAGTATCCATGATGTGCTTCCGTCCGGTACTCCATATCCATATTGGAGGATTCTTTGGCGAGTTGCTTGGAGGAACCCTGACTTTGCCTAGTCAGTGTAACCAACAAGGTATACCGTCGTACATCGCAAGGTGCGGTTCAAAATTTTATATATGTAGTAATGTACTTTACATATAACTATTACATTCAGCAGTCGAAAAGTAACATCTTCATTATCGAGGTATTGCGCTGGCCGTTGACTCTTTTTCTCGAACAACACCAAAACTATCAGAGTGGATTTGGTTACCCTGGCTCTGAGTAAAATATTTAAATCTGGAGGGGTCACATATTGCGCTCTTGAAATGACGGGGTGGGTCTAGGTTGCACTAATGGTTAGATTCCTAACTTGAAAATTGGGAGGGACATTGAGAACCAAGGTCCTTGTTGGGGTCTGATGATGCATGGGTAACTAACTAGCTGCTCTTCGCTCGTGGCAGCTTTCAGGTCTTTTTTAAACAGTCGACCAAAACAATGCGCAACTAGTTGTTTTGTTCTCGCTATTTCAACTCAGGTACAAATAGCTACTTGGGGTGCTCTTAGACGCAGTTTGGCCCGACCAAAAAAAAAAAAAAGTCTACTCTGAACTGTTTTCTGGACATCCTTTCAATCCATTCCTCAGATCTCTCCATAGTTAGCGAAACTTGACACGGTATTCCATCAGTTTATACAGCTTTCGTCAGGCCGCCGGTTGAAAAGTTCTGTAGTTAGCTGGGAACAGAAGGAAAATGAACGCATTATCCTACCAGCTGTCGATACCTGATTGGCTCTAATACGGGGGGGGGTACTATACGATGTATATATACAGGTTCATCCTCTGCTAAGGAAAAGTTCATGGGACACACCAAGAATACATTCTTGGGAAAGCTTTGTATTCCCGACACATTGGTGGGTTGGGTTCAGACGGCTGTCATGACTGGGGACGACGACAGCCGCTGGAGCGATGATACAAAAAGTATGATAAAGTTTGATGTTGTCAGGAGAGCTATGAGACACATGGTGCTCTAAAGGCTCTAATAATGACTATGATCTTATTTAAGGGCATTTAAAAATGGGTGACAAAAAGAGCCAATGCAAGCTTCCCTTCCTGTGGAAGGAAATGTATAATATATACGGGACACCAGCGTCTGAATCAAAAGGAAGATATGAGCAACTCCATTTTCGTACACAACAGTATGGATTTAAGTGAAACAAAAAGACGACGATCGGGCAGTATTCTATCAACAATCAGATGTCAAGAAAGTCCAATTGAACCATTTCAAACCTGGGTCTCATGACGAATGTGCCAAGTAGAGCAAGAGATGATTAAGAGCAGCTATGCTGTCCCAAGCAGGTTGTAGATCGCGACCGGAGGGCAATGTATTTGATGGATACATATATACATATGTATGGAATGCAAGGGGTTACTAGCAATATGGGAAATGATAAGCACCGGTTCTATACCAACATCGGAGAACGACTAGAAAAAGGAAGAAAACGCCGAAACATGAAGTAGTACAGAGTACAACGTAGTCAAAACGACCATCCCGAAAACAAACAGATTAACCAACTCCCTCTTATTGTAGAACAATCGTTCCAGTCTCCTGCTCAATCTTATCCTCCTTCTGCCGCCAAACCTTGCCCTCCTCACTGAGCCTATACAGCTTGGCATGGTACGCGCTATCCTCGTCGTCCTCCTCGAATGTCAGACTACGCTCCCTGCGTCTCTGGCACGCTGCGTAGATCTGTCTCGCCTGCTCGGGACTATCAAACTGGGTAAATGTATACTCGAGATCCCATTTGTCCTTTGTGCTGAAAGCCACTGGTCGTTCGACATATCTACCATTTACCTTGTTGCGGATGGTGATGGCAATGGCGAATATTTCCTTTTTGGCGGGATCTTCTGGAGCGGTAGCATTACTAGCTACACCTTTAAGACTGAGGTCTCCGAGGGTTTCTGACGAAGCTGTTTCAGCTTCAACTTTAGCTTCAGCTTTAGCGCGATCAGGCTCTTCTTCCTCTGAGAACAATAGCTTCTTCTGTATAGCCTCGATCTCTTCTTTATTGCGGTTTTGAATCCCATTGATTTGTTCCTCCGTCATGGGCTCTGCAAAGACGTACATGAGTGGTATTTTAGTGTCGCGAGTTTCAAAGTGGAAGCGTAATGATTGTTTCGGAAACTTTTCAGTCGCCTTGGCCAGTATCTTGTCCCACAGGGAGACACTGAGCTGAAACTCTGTATCTCCAAGAATTGTATCCGTTTGGCCATGAAGAGCCAAATCCATCTCAGGCAAGCTGACGTACTGGAATCCGAAGATGCGTTTGATGTTGTGGAAAGCAACAAATATACCATCCATACGCCCAACGCGAACTTGTAGGGAGTATTTCATGAAGGCTGCGCGGATCATATCAAAGTACTCTCGCTCAAACGACTCGAATATTCCAAATCGGCCTTTAATCTGGTATCCAATTCCACGATCGTAGTTCCTTGTGTTCATCCGGATGGACACAACAGCACGCGTTTTCAGGTCAAACATGCCGGTGCCTGGAAGTCGGGGGTCATGGGCGTCGAGTTGTGCCCTCATCAAGAAGTTCCCACAGGTGCTGTAATGGAAAGACTCAGGAGCTACAGATTCGGGTGTAACTTTGTCGCTACTGGATTTTCGGTATCGCTCAAACTCTTCAGTTGGCATCGTGAGTAGCTTTTCCATAGATCTGCCAAGGTTCATGAGAATGTTGGCGCTATCGAATTCCTTGTCGGCATCAATAGCATAGACTCCATCCTTGTAACGTAAGAAGACCGCGGAAGGTGCCCGCAGGATCCGCGTGACGTTCATGGCCGGTTCATAAAAGCCCTGGGAGACATAACTGGTATTCAGGGGCCGCCAGGCAGAGAGTAGGAAGTGGAAATGTGATAGAACGGAGGTCATGCTGGAGGAGGATCCTATGTATCTCTTTTCGTGACGCAGGGCTAAGTCGCGTAATGTCTCATCTCGAGAGGAGGTGAGATATTCATTGAGGGCGGAAAAATCGAACTCCTTCACAGGCATAATAGATCCCAGGTAGGGATCAAAATTGTATACTCGTGTCCTCGGGTCTTGTAGATGGTAAACACCAGGACTATTGACAATTAGTGAGCAAGATGTCATTTTCGCAAGGGGTAGAAGAAGACTTACTTGAACAAAGCCCTTTCGAGACCATACCAGAGTCTTGGCACAGGAGGGTTTTCTATGCTCAGAGCTGCATCTTGTTAGATACGATTATAGCGCTAATTTATACAGGTTGAACGGAACTCAATACTTACGGACCAATGGCGCATTTGTTGACTCCAAGACGCCGCTGTGTAGTTTCTTCGTCGGCAGGACATCACCCTTAAACTTTCTCGGTTTTGAGTTTTTGGGTTGAAATTTAGGAAATAGGTGTGAAAAAGCAGGGCGCCCTGGACGAGCAGGAGCAAGAGCATGACCATGACCATGACCAGGATGCTAGGTTCGGGATAGGTCTTTAGTAGTGCCCAAGCGGTGTGTGAGGCGACGAGAAAAGAAGTACACTTACAGATCGACGTTGGTGAGCGGGGACGGCTCCTCGACTGGGCGATTGCACTTCATGGTGAGGGGCGGCCTTTTTCTTCAGCCTGGCTTTTTTGTGAGGAGTTGGCACTGCTCGATGAGGCTCATCACACACATCACCTCCGGACTTCGGGTGCTGCGACTTCTTCGGAGGCTGCGACTTTTTCGGGGGCTGTGACTTCTTCGACGGCTGTGACTTCTTTGAGAGCTGTGACTTCTTCGGGGGCTTGCCGGCTCCCGGTGTGGTCTTCCAAACCAACGAGATATTAGCATTTTTCAGTTCAGTTTTACGTGACAACAGGGTCGCGTCTAAGGTAGCAAGTACATGGCCCGACATCAAAACGGGGATAGACACATGGGCACTCTGACGCTGGAGGAAACCACTCACCGGAGGTATGCCAAAGGGGGGTTGTGGAGCATGGAAACTCTTGGTTAATAGGGAGGTCGTTATGTCACCAGACTGGGAAATAGAGGGAGTTGATGATTCTGACTCCGCAGGGACGGTCGTGAGAGAACGACGGGAAGATTGAGCTATATGATGGAGACGGCCAGCATCGACAACTAGGCAAGATAGGCAGATAAAACCACGTCTGGGCTGTGTAGAATGCCGGAGCGATCTGTTCAGCATCGTAGCGGTGGCTCGCTGACGAGGGACCAAGCGCAGGTCCGCAGGATGGTGGTGAAAATGGATGGGAGGAAACCCTTCACTTGGGATACAGGAGCAGGCGAAAGCGGTCGATTAAAAACGCAAACAAGACGTAGAAGGGAAAAAAAGAGAGAAGAAAAAAAGAGAGAGGAACCGTAGAATAGAAAGAATGGAAAAGCGACTTTCTCGTGACGCCCGAGAAATGGCAGCTGAACCTTTATAAAGGAGGTTCCAACCACGCATATCTCGGGTTTTGAGGTTTGACTTGAATCTCTCCCTCCCAAAAAAAAAAAAAAAAAAAAAAAAAAAAAAGAGTTAAATCAATCCCGTTGAAGGGCTAGCTAACCTGTTGTGGCTAGCGTACAGAGAGTAGTTAACATAATCCGACAACCTGATCAACTCTCTGATCATCTTTCATCTCAGTCCTTCCAGGTCATTCATTCATTATATTCAACATGGCAATCACTTTCAGCAGAGAAGCTTCTTCTAATCAAGAAGCTAAACTTTTCATTAGCTATGGAAGCCTATAAAACGAATCAAATTTCAACTCTTAGAGCTGCTGCTAAGTCCTCTGCTCCATGGAATGAGAGAGGACAGCCTCACTGATCCGTGATCGTACAAGATATGGCCATCTAACTACTTTCAGCGTGAGAATCTGCTGCTACAACTACAGTGAGAGATATTCAACAGACACACCAAGACTCATGCAGCTGGCAGATATAAACTGCTGATTATGAATAAATATAACAGTTATGCTACAGCTGAATTTGACAAGTTCTATCTGAATTATTGTATTATAGTTTTTTATGTGCTTTTTCATACTGCAGTCATTAGATGTGAGCTGTTTTTAATCACCAGAGAGAGTGTACGGCAAGAAGATTGAGCATAGCATGAGATTGGAAATCAGTTATATTGATCAAGATGAATTTTTAATCAGCTACAGCTAGACAGAAGACTATGAAGAATCCTACTATAAGAAACAGATTCAAAGTCAGAGGCTTAGTTTCATACTTCTACCCGCATCGAGTCAGCTCATGGATCTCATAGATTTCAATCCTTCTGGACTCTCAAGACTTTCTGCTATGTAACTCAATTGAAATGTCAGAGCAGCAAGATTAAATGCTGTACAGATGTTCTTTCTAGTCTCACAAATCATCAAAGCTCTCAATCAGCTAGCAAAAGGATTTCAGCTGGCCATGCATAAGATTGCTCTTTTAACAGAGGAAGTCAAGCAGCTGGGAGCTGCCAACGCTAGACAGAAATGAAAGAGAGAAGGCCACATAAGTATAGCTGAGGAAGGGATTCTAACGGCTGAAGAGGGGAGGGTTGAGGATTCAAATCTGCGAACTAAAAAGCGAGCACCACCACGCTGTAGTTAATGTGGCAGTACGAAACACAAAGCTCCTGGCTGCTCACAGACATAAGGATATATTCTATATAATTTCTATATATAATTCATAGCGGTTGTTGCTTAATTTGAAAAAAAATTTGTCAAATAATATGGTGGGTTGATCAAACCGGCGTCGGATTCTACAAAATAGTTAAACTATAGTTTAGTTACCAACTAAGAGGGAGAGCGCGCTGTTCCAACTTATTCCGCCCTACGGATCTATCAATTGCAATAACAAAAGCACCCAGAGGACACGTCTCAATTCTCCAGCATATTCCGCTGTAATTTCTGCTATAACTCTCCAAGGCAATAATCATAGTTGGTTCCTGGAGGTGGTGGCAACTACAAAGTTTCACTGACTAGTTTTACCCGCCGGGAAAAAGTTTCCCAGTCTCCGGCGCAAAAAAGTCGCCAGCCCGAAAAGATCAACCCAAAGAAAGAGTACAAAAACAAGTAAAAAAAAAAATACATGCCGTGATATATCCGCAATTCCGCCTAGATTTTCAGCACCAGGTCCAAATTGTGCGTAAGATCCCCTTTTCTATCCATGTCCTCCCTATCTTGAATGCCTTTGGTTATATTTCACAGCACCATCTACTGTCTATGCGCCCCAATGCTCAGTCCAATCCCCCACCTTGATTGATATGGCCCCTCGAAGATCAATTTATTAGTATAAATTGATACCGGCCCAGAGAAATACCACCACCATCAGTCGAGTTGCTGGAAGATATATATATTGCTGGAGTGCTTGTATCTTTCTTGCGTGGACTTTTCGGCATTATCCTGTTCATCTTCTGCGCTTGGTTTGCGGAGTTGCTCTCTAGCTTCTCACTGGAGAGATTCAATATGAATAAAATCCCCCTGATCTTCAGTATGAAATGCAAAAGCTCTCTGATTTCCATTTACCTATCTTCTTGTTTTCCTCTATTGCAAGTTGGCTTGAGCATGTCATTGTTTTTATACATGGAACAATTAAAATTACCCTGGATCTGTATCCGCTGCACATCTGCCACTGACGCATCTCTCTCTAACTTCGAATCCCTATAGTTCAAGGGCGGGGAAGTCACCATGCTCCAGGAAAGCCTGCGCGTCCTTGTTGTTGGCAGTGGAGGCCGGGAGCATGCATTCGCGTGGAAACTCAGCCACTCGCCGCTCGTCGACATCGTCTATGTGGCCCCTGGGAACGGGGGAACAGCTGCAGGAGACTCCAAAATAACCAACGTCGATATCAAGGCTAATGACTACTCCGGGTTGGTAGCGTTTTCGCAAAAGAACAATATTAATCTTGTTGTTCCAGGCCCTGAAGCCCCGCTGGTGGACGGCATTCTGAAATTCTTCCAATCAGGTCAGTTCTGCTGCTTTTATTCTGCGTAAATAAATCTCAGGCGAAAGTAACAAAATTAAAAATATGAATTATAATTAAGCCTGAAAATAACCATATTTCGCAGTTGGAATAAGATGTTTTGGTCCCTCACAAGCAGCTGCGCGCATGGAAGGCTCAAAGACATTTTCCAAAGATTTCATGAAGCGCCACAATATCCCAACCGCTGCCTACAAAAACTTCAGTGACTATGCAGAAGCAAGTAGATATCTAGACTCTGTCAATCATGATGTCGTCATCAAAGCTAGTGGCCTTGCTGCAGGAAAAGGTGTCATCATCCCCCAATCCAAAGAGGAGGCTCACAAGGCCCTGAGGGAAATCATGCTTGAGCGCCAGTTCGGAGAAGCCGGAGATGAGGTCGTGATCGAAGAATGCCTCGAGGGAGACGAGTTAAGTATTCTGACATTCTCCGATGGATATACCATCAGGTCACTCCCGCCGGCTCAAGACCACAAGCGGATCTTCGACGGAGATCGGGGTCCTAACACGGGAGGAATGGGATGCTACGCCCCTACGCGCATTGCGTCAAAGGATGTTCTGGAAGAGATTGACAGGACTATAGTTCTCCCCAGCATCAACGGAATGAGGAGAGAAGGTAACTATCCCACCTATTATTCATTTAACTTCAAAAGGGATAGCTACTAACGACACACCCCTGCTAGGCTTCCCGTTCGTTGGAATTCTGTTTACTGGGCTCATGATGACCAAGAACGGGCCCAAGGTCCTTGAATATAACGTCCGTGGCGGCGATCCCGAAACACAGACACTTCTGCCTCTCCTCAGTGATGACACTGACCTTGCTGAGGTGATGGTTGCTTGCACAGACCACTGGCTCGATGGTGTCACTCTCAAAGTTGAACCAAAGTTCTCTGCCACCGTCATTGCCGTCGCGGAGGGTTACCCAGGTTCCTACGCAAAGGGGAGAGATATCACACTGGACGCACACGCAGCAGACACCCTGATTTTCCACGCAGGCACCACGTTAACAAACAACCAACTTAAAACCTCCGGCGGCCGCGTTATCGCCGCCACCTCAACCGCCCCAACACTAGAAGAGGCAGTCAAGAATGCCTACACAGGCATCTCCACAATCCACTTCCAAGGCATACACTATCGCAAGGACATCGCGCACCGCGCCTTCAAATCTACCACCACCACGCCAACCTCCCCATCTTCCACCCCCGCCAAACCACTCACCTACGCCGCAGCCGGCGTCTCCATCGACGCAGGCAACGACCTGGTACAACGAATAAAAGCCAACGTCGCCCAAACCCGCCGCCCAGGAACCGACGCCATAATCGGCGGCTTCGGCGGCACCTTCTCCCTCTCAACATGCAACTCAGGCTTCCACCCCTCCTCACCCACGCTAATCGGGGCCATCGACGGCGTGGGCACGAAACTCGTCATCGCCAACGAAATGCGCATTCACAACACCGTCGGCATCGACCTGGTCGCCATGAACGTCAACGACCTCGTCGTCCAGGGCGCCGAGCCCCTCTTCTTCCTCGACTGCTATAGCTGCGGCAAGCTCGACGTTGTGACGGCTGCCGCATTTGTTTCTGGCGTTGCTGCTGGCTGCGTAGATGCTGGCTGCGCACTGGTTGGTGGTGAAACGGCCGAAATGCCCGGCTTATACGCTGGCACGACATATGATGCCGTTGGCGCTGCGGTGGGCGCAATCGACACCTCGTCCCGTGCAATCCTGCCAGACCTGGACAAGATGCAGGTCGGCGATGTGCTGCTCGGGCTTGCCAGCAGCGGTCCGCACTCCAACGGGTACTCCCTGGTGCGCAAGATTGTCGAGCGGTCTGGACTGTCATACCATGACGCAGCACCCTTCGAGACAACAGCACCGTCTTTGGGCGCTGCGCTGCTGACGCCAACACGGATTTATGTTAAGCCACTCCTGGCCGCACTTGGATCGGTGCATGGTGGTGCTATCAAGGGTCTCGCGCATATTACTGGTGGCGGACTCGTGGAGAATATTCCCCGTGTGCTGCCGAAGCATTTATCAGCGCTTGTTGATGTGTCATCGTGGCCTCTGCCGCCGGTATTTAGGTGGCTGAAGAAGACCGGGGGTGTTACTGGGGCCGAAATGGGTCGGGCGTTTAATAACGGGGTTGGGATGATTGTTGTTGTTGGGAAGGGGGATGTAGAGAAGGTGAAGGGTCTTTTGGAGCAGAGGGGGGAGAGGGTGTTTGTGGTTGGGGAGTTGGCGGCGCGCGGAGACGATGAGGGCTGTGTTTTGAAGAATTTGAAGAGCTGGGAGGAGTAGGTACACACTAGTAGGCACACACTGGTGGGTAACATTATTCAGGATGAGGTGGGCGTGGGCTAGGTTACCCGCTTGATTTGTGAGTTTTCAGGCCGATGCTCTTGAAGTCGTTGCAGATGCGACAGATGCTATATATGTTTTTTGGAAAGCAAAGAAAATGGTTGAAGCAGCATGTATTTGGGCACATATAACCCAACGCCCATCAATATATATCGAGGTCTAGATCGCAATTTATCTCAAACATCCCACAACAAATCAGGCAAAATTCCAGTCTTCACCTTTCGACCAACGAGGTGCGCATTTCTATGGTAGTTAGTCCTCCTTGATAAAGCCGAGGATCACAACGAGGAGACCTTGAACATTCTCCTTCGCCTTCATACGCCAAACACCCACACAGGAGGAAATGACGCGAATAGATCCTGCACATGGTTTGACCAGCAAGAATAAAAACTAGTATGGTGAAATCGCTCCTGACTCTGGCGTTGAGGATCGGAGACGACGAGATACAATCATGCCCTCATAAACACAACCTTTGGCTGGTTAAATCCTTCCGAGGCGGCATAGCTAATCCCTAGTTACCCTAGGACAGCCACATCCGCTAGGATACACTGTGCCATGCAGTCTGACACAGGCCGAATGATTGGATATTCGGCAACTTCCAATACATCAAGGGGAAGCGAGAAATGACGGGGGCAAGATAAGGTACTACCCGCTATCTATACCTAACCTCCCTCTGCCGGTCCAGGCATCGTTTTGTCTCTATCCAGCTTGGTTATTCCATCTAACAAGGACCGCAGCGAACCTTGCCCCAGAATCTTCAACCGGAAACCCCCAAATCAAATAAGCGATACCATGGATGATACCCTGAGGTCCACGGAGTCTCCCGATTACATTGAATGGAGGAAACTCCTATACACGGATCATCACGCCGCAATCACGACGGCCAATGCGCCAGGGAAAGATTATCCATGTCTGCTCTTCATGGTCGATACGGAAATGCGACTGTCCTGGCCCGATTTTGTTCCCCGGGCAAATGTTCTCTTTGCCTGGGACGAAGGCGAGGGCGTCTGGGTTCTCGAGCCTACGGAGGACGACTGCGAAAACCTCAAGGAGTTTCTCAAGAGAGATTTCATGCACTGGCATGAAGCTCTGGAGAAATGCGGAGCTGTTCACTTCAGCCATTGTAACAACATTTCTATCCTGACTGTGTTTTTGTTTAGGTTACAACAACATGCTAACAAATGAAAATGTTACCTGGTTACTAGGGCAGGACAATTTTTGGAGCAGAACTGCCAATGAGAAGACGCACGGCACCGTCGACTGGAAGCCGTTCTACTGGGCGAAAATAGTTCCCACAGATGAGCCAGTAGCCCAATATGGGATATCCAGGAAAGAGGCGGACTCGAATGGCTTCCAGCAGAAGCTGTAATTTCTGTAGTTGACGATTGACTCTCACCGATTGCTGTTACCGATGAATATATTTACATTTACGTTCCACCTTTGTCGAGTTTTGATTTCTTCGTATTCCCCTCTTGTCCTTGAATGATAACCGGGTTCCTACGCGTTTTTCAGGCGCTTTTTATTAACATCAGACTGGGTGGGATGTTTCATGATCCCTGAATTTGAGAAAAGCAGCATTAAGGAGAGAAAAAGATAGGACTTGAAACAAATTCATCCAGTGTATCAAGCATTGCTTCTCAAACCCAAACTCAATTTGAAGGAGAAGGCATTTAATTAATCTTCCTACCCAACGTTGAAGAGGCGGATAAGAGGTCAGTTTCCCTCATAAAAAAAAAAAAAAAAAAAAAAAAAAAAAAAAAAAAAAAACAGGGAATCGCCCCCAAATCCTGCATCAGACAGCTTTAAAAAAAAGACAAAGGCCTGAAACGTTTCAGCAATCAGAAATCTGCCTTCAGTCACGTCCCCTTCCTGACGAGATTACCTTTCATTGAACGCTGTCTGATCACAGTAGCAGTCGGAGGCTGTCACCTTGCGGGTGGAATCGGCTGAGCTGGTAGATATCCACAGTGTAGAGTGTATTGATGGAGGGTCCATGGAATGATTTGAATGTTATGTACGAGACAACAGAAGAAGAAGAAGAAGAAGAAGAAGAAGAAGAAGATGAAGATATTCATTAGTTCATAGTTCAGCAGCCTTTCCCGATGATAAGAACATATACGTATTCACAAGATACACTGTTTGCGAGGTTGAAACTATTCAGCTATGTATATACATACTTACACTGATAGATCCGCTTGACAAATAGTAAGAGATACGCCTTTTTCCCATCATATGCTCATCTCATGCAATCCAGGGAACAGATGCAGTCCTCAGTCCTTCCCTATTCAATGTTCGCAGATGTAGATGTAGATGTAGATGTAGATGCAGCTGTGTTAGCTGAAGCTTGTCATTAACAATCTACCTTCCATCCCTCCTCACCGTCATACGTTCTTGTCTTGTCTTTTTTTTATTTCTTTTTCTTTTCTTCTTTCTTGTCGTGTCCCCTCATTCCCATACAGTGACAGTCTCATCTTGACGCATGGAGAATATGAAAACGACCTGTGTCAAGCGATGAGAAATAAGAGTAGGGGTAGAAAAGCAGTCAAAGGGGGAAAAATATCATTCATTTTTTTTCTATTTATGGGGGTGCTAAAACGAATTCTGCTTTGGTGCTATTGAGATGGACGAAGGGGGAGATGAAAAAGACGAATCGGTTCATCACAAGCACAAGTACAAGCAACAGCAAGGGGGTTCTTAATGTTCATGTTAAAAGGGAGCGAGGGCTTTTTGTTTGTAGCAAGCAGAACATGAAGGGGTAGAACTCAACACACGAAAGGGAAAAAGGGTCTTCTCTATGCACACCAAGTTTCACCCGACGCAGAGGCCACGACTAGGGGGAAAGCGAGTAACAAAGAAGTGAAAACAAAAATAGAGAAAAATAGAGCTTAGAACCCGTTAATTTTTTTAAGTTCGATTACAAAAAAAAAAAAAAAAAAAAAAAAAAAAGGCAAAGAGAAACACTCGACGCACACGACGGACAGTCCCCTCCCCCTCCAAGTCTAAACCCATCCACATATCACTACCAACTACCTTACCACTCACACGCACAACCCAATCCAAACCAATCCCTCGAACACACAAAAATAGGATAAAAGACTTCACATGAACCCCCCCAGCCTTCCATAATCCATCTCCTCATCCCCACCCCCTTAGAAGCACTTGCGATGGACAATAGAGGGTCCAGACTCGTCGTACTCCTGCTTCGAAATCCACATCTGCTGGAAGGTCGAGAGGGAAGCGAGGATGGAACCACCGATCCAGACGGAGTATTTACGCTCCGGGGGGGCGATAATCTTCACCTTCATGGACGAAGGAGCGAGGGCGGTGATCTCCTTTTGCATACGATCGGAGATACCGGGGTACATGGTTGTGCCACCGGACTATGGATTTTGTTAGAATTTATGTCTTTGCATTATGTTCGGAGGGGGGGGGAATAAATTGAACTTACCATAACGATATTTCCATAGAGATCCTTTCGGACGTCGACGTCGCACTTCATGATGGCATTGTAGGTGGTGGCATGGATACCGCCACTTTCAAGACCCAACACGCTAGGCTGGAAGAGAGCCTCTGGCGCGCGGAATCGCTCGTTGCCAATGGTGATGACCTGTCCGTCGGGCAGTTCGTAGGACTTCTCCAGAGTGGACGATTGGGACGCGGTCTGGATCTCCTGTTGGAAGTCGAGGGCAACATAGCAGAGCTTCTCCTTGATGTCGCGGACGATTTCGCGCTCAGCAGTCGTGGAGAAGGAGTAGCCACGCTCCGCTAGGATCTTCATGAGGTAGTTGGTCAGGTCACGGCCAGCCATATCGATACGAGAAATAGCGTGTGGGAGCGCAAAACCCTCATAGATGGGGACAACGTGGGTGACGCCGTCGCCGGAGTCGAGGACGATACCGGTGGTACGACCGGAGGCGTAGAGAGAGAGAACAGCCTGGATGGAGACGTAGAAGGCGGGAGCGTTGAAAGTTTCGAAGACGATCTGGGTCATCTTCTCACGGTTGGATTTGGGGTTGATGGGGGCCTCAGTCAACAGCACGGGATGTTCCTCTGGGGCGACACGAAGTTCATTGTAGAAGGTGTGATGCCAGATCTTCTCCATATCATCCCAGTTCGTGACGACGCCGTGCTCGATGGGGTATCGGAGGGTGAGGATACCACGCTTGGATTGTGCTTCATCACCAACATAGGAGTCCTTCTGGCCCATACCAATCATAATACTACGATGGAGTTAGTTGGTAACCTTGGCGGAAGTTTTGTTGGGTGGTGGGG